AAAAAGATCAAAAAACAACAATAGAAAATATAGAATATAAACTCCATTTAAACTCCACTCCTTAGCTTGGCGCCATGTTGAATTTCGCGGCCGCGCCGGTAAAGGCCTGGGGACCAGGTGCTCTACCGTATCTGAAATAGCCTTCACCAATGAAGTATGATGTTTCCACCTTTCGATCTCAAAATTCGAGATTCTTGGAAAAAAATTTCATTTTATAATATATTGAAGAAATAGAAAGAAATACAGTAATTCTCGTTTTCAGTAGATATTTTGAGCCATTTTGCTTATTCTGAAAGGTTTTATATTGTCAATTCCTTTTTCAAAATCATTCTACACAATTTCTGTCAGAAAGTTAATTTATATTTAGATATTTACATGCTTTCGGGGTATGTCGACACTGCTCGTTGACGTGCGTAACAGGTTCGGAGAAATTCGTGTTTTATCGGAAAGAGATGGAAATTTAAAATTCCGTAATTTTGTTGTCGAGAAAGTCGAGTCTTTGGATACAGTATTTTGCCAAATTTAAACTGCATTTTAAGGTAATTTGCAGGTATTATTCGGTTTACAGTAATGTCTCTTTTAACCTTATAGTAATGATAAAACTTGTCAGTTTTTGAGTGTTTTGTTTGCAAAATTGCAACAGTCACTGACAACTTCAGTATGACTTGTAGTCACACGTGGTTTTTGTTGACATATTTCTGTATTTTTTTATAGAAAGATATGAAAGTATCATGCCATTGAATTTTAGCCTTAACAACCTGTAAATAGAAATGTAAGTATATATTCAATTGCCCTCACAGTTAAAACAATGAACGTTCTTCATCATTTGCTTGTATTTTATATGTGCATGCATGTTGCAGGATGTATGATGCAACCAGCTGAAAAATTAACTTTGTTTTTCTTGAAGTTGTTCTTATTTTTCAGGTAGTTTCATCTTACATACATGCTGACAAATTGTATTCTTTGCTACCTGTACTGGTACACAACTGCCATTCAGAAGCGTAGCCACAGCCCCCCCCCCCCCCCCCC